ATATATATATATTTTAAATTTTATGATATTTTAAATTTTATATTTTATCCAAAAATAAAAACATTGTCGCTTTCTTAAAATCACATAAAACCGTATTATATCGAGATAGATAAATAATAAAACGAGACATTGAAATCAATATATGTCTCGATACATTACATGAGTACCCTTATAGTATATATGTATATATATATATATATATATATAGAGAGAGAGAGAGAGAGAGAGAGAGAGAGATTTTGGATCACATGAGACCAACTTGTTTTCGTGAGATCACTTTTTTACATTTGAAACTTCACAACAAAACGCTGTAAAGTTAACCTTCACAGTGTTTTTGCTGTGAATATTCGGTTTTTTAACCTTCACAGTGTTTTCCTGTGAAATTTACAATGTAAAAAAGTAGTCTCACGAGTCTCACAAAAACAGGTTGGCCAAACCTTAAACCTAACTATATATATATATATATATATATATATATATATATATATATATATATATATATATAAACTAACTAAGTCTTACAACATCTTTGTTTTTTTTTTATCTTTTTCATCTTGCATATTTTTCATGTTGTTCATCGCTTTTAGCCTTTTTTTCAAGTGACCAAAGTGAATGGTGTTTAGATATAAAACATTTACTAATAAACCCTCCATTCCATTTGTGTTGCAAGTTGAATTCAAAGTGAAGGCACACAGCGGGGTGGACTGAGCGGACTCTTGTCCACCCGCTGCGATTATTGTATGAGAAAAAAAAAATTAGGTGTCTGAAGGATGCAACCGCCTGATTTTGAAGTGTCCTCTCATATGCTTCAAAACCAAATTCGTAACAAACATCAAACATGGGTGAGATGATTTAGTACTTAGAATAAATTGTCAGATACAATATGTTGTAAGTTTGATTCTTACATCTAATAAATATCTGAATTTTGATCTATAAACTTGTTGACTTTCCGCCAGGTCAAATCGCTACTTTGTGGATCTTTGATCCACCTTAAAGATGTACACGCTCACAAAAACTCCTAGGTCCACCACTAGCACACGGAAAAAAACGAGGGACTTAAGAGAAATATTTTTTTCTTGCATTGATTATAACATTCATGACTACAAATTATTGTTTTGATGTTTTAACTTTGTAGTCATTAACAATAGTTGGAGTAAAAGTAACGTGTGCATCGACCAGTTTTTTCAGACCCATTTTTCGGTTAAACAAGGACCAATAAACGAGCTTTATTCGGGTTCTTTTTAACGGTTAAGGACCGCTTCCAGGGTCACATTTTAGGATCAAAACGGTTTTTTGCTTATAATCAATTCTTGAATCGGGATTTCATTTAACCTATCCAAAATAAGTTCACCAATTCTTTGTACATCTCTAGTTCTAGATCTGAAAATCCTTAAATTACGGAGGTATAAGTTTATTGACCGTTTTAAAAGTAAAGATTTGACAAAATAAACATTGTAGTTGGCAAAAATACATCTCTTTAAGTATTCAAACTAGTTATAAAATAAAAAAGTTATCAACAGAAAGAGAAAGACAGGGATTCGAACCCTCGATACGAATAACTCACACACATTTTTTTGAATTGGAAATTTGCTTGAATCGGATCCTTTCAATTTCTATATCGAAGATATACTTACGAAGTCGTTCCAATTTATTGATTGGCGTTAACCTTAGATCGTTGCCCCTGAGTGAATTAATCAATATTTCTACTCGAGCTCCATCATGAACTATTTACATGATAACTCAATAAAAAAGAAGGGTTCTAGTAGAATAGAACAAACGATGCAGAACCAAGAGCATAATCTGTTGTTGATTTTAGTGTCATCAATTATTTGGTGTAATTGTAATTTACATAAGATAAATTAAAGTGATAATGCGCATGTAAGTGTGTTAGGAGGTGCAGAGCGCATACTAAAAAATGTTGTCCCTGTCACCTTAGATTGGTGGGGGTCAAAGGGGTCGTGCTCCCTTGCGGAGTTCTAGGGGCAGCGCCCCTAGTTGGATGATCTGGACGAATTTCATAAGGTTGGAAACCTTCGTGAAATTGTCCCTGAAATTGGACAAATTTTGATCAAGTCTAAAATATGATACCTGCAATCTAAGTCTGTTCAACCAGAGTTATAGTCTACGCAATCAGATTTAGGGGCCGTTTACCAAACGCTTATCAAGTCACATTACCTTACCGGATAAATATGGTAAGGACCAAGAATCTTATCCGGCAAGAGGGGAGACAAGGAGCAAGAGTCTTACCCGATAAGTGATGACAACGACTCTTACCATAGTAAACACTTACTCTGTAAATTGTTGCATACACTGTCGTTTTGATAGACTAAAGTCTTACCCAGTAAGTAAGTGGTAGTGTTAAATTTTACCGGTAAACGCTTACCGGGTAAGTGTTTGGTAAACAGCCCCTTAGACTTACTACAATCAAATTCGGATATAGTTCTAATTGTTTACTAGTCTTATCCATTAACTGTCATGGCCGCTCTTAACCGTCCATAACTATCGATCTCTCATATAAATATGTAAACGAGAATCTGGGTATATATAACGATTCGATCTCATGAGACTTTCTCTTCGATTATCTCAATACGAAATTCATGATAGCCAAGGTCATAAAGGGACGGATTATTGTATTTGAATAGTGAATTTTTCATGATCTAACGAGATTTATCCGGTCCACAATCATCTCCAAATCACCTTCCTAACACCTTCATTCTTATATAAAATGATGGATGTAAGAATAAGAATCCACACTGGACCATGTCTTTCAAGTCGCATGTTGCTTTCTACCACAATGTTTTAAACTTTTCAAACAAAACCTTAAAAAAGAACCGAAAAACTATGAAAAAAACAATAAATAAATATATTGAAAAAAATTTCAAATTACAGATAATTAAGTGATTGTTTTCTTAATGTAATTTGTTTTATTGTAATTATATATATATATATATATATATATATGGTATATTTTAAATGTAATCATGTAACCATTTAGAGTTGCATAATAACGTGTGTGTGTATATATATATATATATATATATCAATAAATACACCCAGAAGGATGAAAGTCGGTGCCGACTGGCGGTGCTTGTTGTGGGGACTGTGAGAGTGATGGTATTCCTTCTTCGGTTGCAAGAAACTTTATGAACCGAATATATATTATATATATATATATATATATGTATATATATTTTATATATATATATATATGGGTTGGGTTCACATGAGACAATACTTTTTTTATGAGACATATGAGATACGATTTTTACACTTGAAACTTTACGACAAAATGTTGTGAAGATAAAAAAAATGAATCTTCACAGCAAAAACATTGTGAAGGTTACCTTTACAGTATTTTGTTGTGAAGTTTCAAGTGTAAAAATCGTGTCGCATGTGTCTCACAAAAACAGTCTTGTCTTATATGATGCCAAATCTCTCTATCTCTCTTTATATATATATATATATATATATATATATATATATATATATGAACGACCGAATGCAA